TGATGATGATGATGATGATTTAGCCTCCTCACGTGTGTATGTTCTAAAAATGACATTTCTTTCCCAAAGAATTAGAAGAGGAAGAAGAATTTCAGACAGATTATATAGGTACATAATTTCATACCTTGGATAAACTATGAGGTGTACTTCATGTGAAGTTCTAGCCCAGGCAGATTTAAACACGGGAACGGTAATGTGACAATTGTAGTGTGTCAATGAAGAGGTTTAGTTAAGCAGTATAAATTAAGAGATGCCCTAATAACAACACATTCAGAGAGGTCCTGCTATAAAACCAACACAGAAATAACGCTAGTGAAAGAGAACAGAAAATAAGAGATCTTGCCACAGTTCAACACATCACCTGAAAATGAACACTAAATTTCCTAAAAGTTTCTTGATGTTATAAATAGCTGTTCAAACTGTTGAAACTGTAATATTAACGCATTGCATAGGATTTTTTTTTTCCTTCAGAAATGCATTAACAGGAATTAATACTGTGAGGGACCTAATGAAAATGAATCTGAAGAAGCTTGTGGGGGTTTAGATGCAGATCCTTCAACAGCAACTACACCAGTGTGCCAAACCTGCGCAGAGGCACAGGGACACCTAGTGGGCAGTTGATTCATTTCTCCCTTCTTTACCAGGGTAGTAAAAGGTTTCTGAGGGATGGGTGTGAGTATTTTCTTAGACTTGAAAAGGTAAAAAAAAAAAGAAGTTTCGGAAGGTCAAATTATCAAGACAGTAATGTATTGTTACCAGTTAAAGCTAATCTTTTAATCTGAAACAATATAATGCAATTCAAACAACAGTGTTTGAAATAAGCTTTTCAAACTTTAACTTATTAACTATTAACTTTTTAAGATGCTTAAGTTAATATCTGAAATTGTGCTTTGCAGTGATTAAAGCAGTTTCTGCAGAATTTATTAGTATTCCTGCTAATGTGGTAACAGTAACATAAGCCATACTTGCAGACCTGCTGGTGGTGGGTTTAACACTGAATCATCTAAATCAGTTCTGATTAAGAATTCAGAAATGCGTTGTTGAAACACAGAAAAATTGGAATGCACTTTCAAGCAAATGCAGAGGACACCAAACTGGGGGAAACAGCTGATAATCAGTGTTAGGTAGACAGTTATTTAACCTAAAATTACTGTCGTTCTTGGAGATATTAAATGGACTGCTGTGACTTTTCATCATTTCCAAATCATGAAGACCTGTAATTTAACTCTAGACTGGTGAAGTACTGAAGTATTACTGATGTCACTGCCTTTTATTCTTTTAGAGGTGGTTCTAATACACATACAGCCCAGACACTCTACAGTTAGATTTGGTGTGTATATATATCATAAACAGAAACCATTCTTTGTGACTGTTCTTTTTTTAACTGATATTTTGAAGCATAAAATTAATTTACACTCAGCACATTTGCACTTCACTTTGTAAGCTTATTGGAGAATTGTGAACACTTTTCCATCAGAAATTCAAGTACTTTTGACTGCTTATACTTTTTAAGTGTAAAAGAAACTGAGAGGGCACACAGCTGTAACTATTCAGTTGCTAATTAGACAGAGCGAGCCTTTTGTGTTTGGATCTATTGAATCATCCAACTGACCTGATAAAACTTCTCAGAAATGGATCTGTCTTGATGGTGTAACAAAGAGGTTTAGCATGCTTTTATCTGCACTGCTGCCATCGTCTACAGGTTTGCTTCAGAAGCTGTTAGTCCAGAATTGGAGCTGTATGGTCATTTTTTCATTTTGAATATTATGAAAAAACAGCTTAACTTTGCTACTATTTATTGTACAAGAACTGAACACTACTAAGGTTTTGGCCACTTAAACAGTAAGTAGCAGGTCATGGAAATGTGGTCATGGATCATGCATGCTGTCAGAACCCAGTGTAATAACTAGCAAATGTGTTGAAAAACAATTTTTCTTACTAAGATTTAATAAGGTAGAAGGTATACAAATAAGTTTTAATATATTATTTTTTACTATCGTGTTTAATTTTATTTCAGGTAGCAGAGCTTAAAATGGAGTTGAAATTGAGGGGATTACCAGTGTCTGGAACAAAAACAGATCTTATTGAGCGTCTGAAACCCTATCAAGATCTTAATAACAATGGGGTTGCCACTACTAGCTCTGTTACAGTAACCACTTCTACTGGGGCCACAGGTAACACTGGAGAAGTGACTGTGGCATTTTCTGTTGCAACGCTAAATAAACCAGTGGCTAATACGATATCCAGCTTTCCTCCAGAAAAAACATCTACCGGACCTGGATGCAAAGTAGTAAATACTGAAAACATTAGCTCTCCTTTGCCTATATCTCCTTCTCCTTCAGAACAATCTAGTCTAAGCACAGATGATACTAGTATGGCAGATACTTTCACAGAAATGATGACTATGATGTCGCCATCCCAGTTCCTAAGTACTTCACCACTAAGAGCAAATATGAGTGATGATAATCAGAATCGCAGTAGTGGAAGCACCTCAACCATGGAGTTTGATGTAGCAGAAAAGGACCGCAAGCTTCAAGAAAAAGAAAAGCAGATTGAAGAGCTCAAAAGGAAACTGGAACAAGAGCAAAAACTTGTGGAAGTACTGAAAATGCAACTGGAGGTTGAAAAACGGGGACAACAGCAACAGTCTCAGACTTCTGGTAACTCAGCTGCTTTGGAACAAAAGCAATTCAGTGCTGCTGTCAAAGATGAAAATGCTCTTACTGACTGTTCTAATACAAGTCAATCTGTACCTGTAGCTAGTCATTCTTTAGGACAATCAGTATATACTAGCGGCCAGAATCCAGTTGCCAAAAAGGCAGTTGTTATCAAGCAGGAGATACCCGTGGCCAAAGCTGAACCTCAGAATGCCATTTCTCAATTTTATGTTAATCCACAGAGGCAGCCGCAAACTGCAGTTGTTGCCCAACCTCAAGCTTTATTAACTACCCAAGGAACTGCACAGCTGCTCCTTCCACTATCTATCCAGGGACCGAATTCTACCACTGCAGTGCAGCTACCAGTTGGAAATATAAAGCTGCAGGTAAGGGTGTTTTTCATCATGTAAAATGCATGGCACTATTTGCATAATTTAGTATGAATAGATAAATGTGCTGCTTGTAAGATAAACTTAAAAATCAGGCTTACCCTGTTTCTACTTTAGAGAGAAGAGTAGGAAAACTTCAGAGCCAATCTTTTTATAACTTATTCTAGTACTTGCTTTCTTTGCCACTTTTGTTCCCAGATACTCTTTCCTGAAAAGTAATTGTCTGCCATGTACTGCCTCCATGCACACCTGGTTTTTATTTATATCAGCATCTACCACCATTTTGTTAACTCCAAATTGTAATAGAGCGCCACAAACTCAGTACTTCACTTTGAGGTCTACCTGTTTGCAAAACGTGTGTTTGAACTTCCGTGTGTGGTGATGGCTGATTATATTTAAAAATGTGAATGCTAGGTTGTAAAACTCCAGTGGAGTTATAAAAAGAAAACAATACACAAATACTGTTTTCTAGGCTGATTATAGGTAGTATGACAGTGAATAAATACAGCATAAACCAAGACAGGTTGTATATAAAGAACGGTAAGAGTAATCTAATGAAGCTGCAAGAGTTTAACCTGTTGGTCTAAGGTAGAATTAAGCATGTACTTCCCAGTGGCTCTGTTGGGACATAGATGGATGTAATCTCCTGCCACCCACATAGTTACTGTGCCAGCAAAGTATTCTTTCAGCTCCAGCGTGTACTTCGATGATGGGGCATTGTGGGCCTAGGCTTTGGTGCTAGCATGTATGCTATCACATTTAGAAATACTTATGAAGGCTGTAAAATTCTGATAGGGATGGGCCCCATAGTTCACAGTGCAAGAGCTGTTCCTGGTAGCTATGCACCCAGAGAGATCTTTTTCTAAATTGTTCTAAAACCCCACTAGAATTCTATAACAACCTTAATCAGCTTGTTCTGGTGTTTCAGTTCACTTCACTGATATTGCAGAAAGTTTTCCTAGCTACCAGCTAAAGTTGTCTTTCCTGAGGTTAGACAAGCTTCTTGCCTTTCAGTGGCCATGAAAAACTACTATGATCTTCTTAAAAACAACCCTTTTCTAGATTCATTAGTTTTGTCTTTCTGGTTACTCAAACCCAGTTCTTATAGTTCTTTCTTACTGGTTATGCTCTATCTCTTATTATTTTCATTGCTCTCTACTGGAACCCCTCCAGTTTGTCTTATCTTTCTTAAACTCTATTGGCAAAATAAACACCACCTTTTAGCTGGGAACTCAGCAGTTCCAAACAGAGTAAAAATTTTTTCTCTTACACACAGTTCACACTCATCCTTCCCAGAATACATGCTATTGCTATTCTGCATAACCTGTGCAATAGATTTTTACATGGTGTAATTTACTGTGAGATACAAATGATGCAAATATTTTATCTTCATCCTTTAGGCTCAATCACAAGCTGGAATACAGACCCCATCACAAATACCTGCTCCTATTTCTTCCTCTAGCCTGGTCCAGACAGCACCTCAGATGCATACTCCACAATCAAAACAAAATGCCATCACGCAGCATGCACTTGGTCAGACCCAACAAATCAGAAAGGTTTGTGGATAGCGATAAGCATTAAGATAAATAGTTGTGTAATCTAATTCTAGGCAGTGCTTTTATAATCTTTTATGTGTCTCATAAATGGTCAAGGCACCTAACATCTCTGTACCATGTTTTTCTGTGTGATACAATGGGCTTGTAACTCCTCGTCTTTCTAAAATTTTAGTCCATGCAGGACTTTTTATTTTTCAGTTGCAAATAAATACATAAGGCTAAAGACTTTTTCTCTTAATTGTACTCTTATGGCACCGCTCTTACTATGTTCTTTCTCATGCTTGGCACAAGTGGTATATCAGGTACTGCAGTCAGTTTCTCTTACTTGCCACTGTCTCAAAATGGAAGATTCTTGTAGGTAGTTTTTAAGAGAAAGCTGTTACCTATGGCCACAGAGATTCTATTGTTTTACAGGAGTTCCTTTTAGTTCTGCTTTCCTTGCTGATTTCATCCTTACTTACAAAGCAAGCTATGGACTCAGATACTGCGGGTAGCAATTCCAGTGAGTCAATACCACCATACCTACGAAACATCTCTTCCTGAGGAGTGCAGGGAATGATCCTACTCTTCCTTTCTACCCAAAACAATCAGCTCTGAAATTTCCCATTCCAAAACAGGTATTCATCAGCACTGGATGCACAGCTGTGAGTGCCAATCCAGTTGTGTTTATACAGTAACTGATATCAAGCCATCAGCACCAGTCATCACAAAAGAAAAGTCTTTGAGCCTCTTCCAGGCTGACCTCTATTATTAAGAACTCGGAGGTTGGGTTTGGACCTTTATTGCATCCTTCTCAGTGCTATCAACTCTAAGGCTCCTATCACTTAGGACGACAAGGTTTTTCAGCCTGCCCCAAGGAAAGGATAATTCAGAAACAACTGCTATTTCAAGATGAAGAGGGTATTTTTTACAGTATGTTATGTAACTGTTATGAAATATCTCAGTCTTCAAAGTTTGTATTTCAGTTTATACATATGTACATCATAAAAGCCATGTTCGGATGTGATTTGGAGCTTATACCCGTGCAGTGTCCTCTAATCTGCTTCTGCTAAGGCTCTTATTCCAGATAAGAATTTACTTAGAAGATGTATGATTACGCCCTGCCATTCTCTAGACAGCTGGATAATAAAGGGGAACACAACTAAATGAGCATCATCACTCTTCAGGCTTCTTGTTCAGTCTCATTTAATTTCATGGACATTGGCGTTATCCTACAGAAGTCAAAACTGACATATACCCAAAAAAGCAGATTTCATCCAGGTCCTGTGGGATTTGGTGAGGGGCTAATCTTACCTTGTTAATTTGACAGGTCCCGTATAGAAATTTTCCAGTTATCCCGAAGCACGTACTTGTGCCAGAGACTAGCAGTTTGCTTCCTTTGCTGTCTATAAGTGCCTTGAAATGATTGCAGGACATAACCAAGAATTGTACCCTCTGGTCTTTCCCCCATTAAGATCAGTTGTCATGGAGACCACATAGTTCCCAGCAGACTTTAGTTTGCATCTGGCTATCCTGGAGCTGAACAGCTTGCCTACCCTAGCTGTTTCTCTCGCACACCTACTGCCATCTTTTACATAGGAAACCAGGCAATGTAATTGCATGGTTTTACATCAAAGTGTAAAATTCTGATGGGATACAATAGATCAGGATAGTCCTAATGCATTCAGCATTAGATCTACCTGTCTGCTGTTCGCATTTCATGAGGCTTGGGTATTTCAGCAGGCAGACTGAGCTAATGAACTGTGAGTGAGTAATGCTATGTACTAATTTAACACTTTTTAGTGAAGCTGGTCTTCATAATAGTGATCATCTCCATAAATAATTGTTTTCCAGAACTGGTTTCCTTTGAATTCATCTAGACTTTCTCAGGTAGCTCAGATTTTTATGCAAACGAGCTGATTATTCTGTTTTCTCCTCCAAACTTGAGGTGTCTCTTCACATGGTAGCTACCACATGGCCCTTGTGTTCAATTCATTCGGTAATAAGGAGACATCTCCACAGCCATTCATCTCAGTGGTAGACAGCTGGGAAGTACAACAGTTTTCTCACAGATGATCCAGATGGCTAACAAAAAATGTATTAAACCCTCTCACAGCAGACTTAATTTGGTATTCGGACTGTACACCACAAAGCTTATCCTAGCTTTATCTCCACCGCCAATCAGATTTGTCACACCTTTGTCATAAAGGTATCTGGGAGTGATACAGCATTTAAAAGAACAGTCCTATGGACTCATACATTCATAGCTCCTCTTCCTCTCCCTTTAAGTTAAAAATATGAGAAGTAGGATACCGCTTGGAGGCATTTGCAATGAGCATATGGACTGTCAGTTGAAGAAATACAGTTTATCTACCAGTAACCAAATTTACAGTTGATACCCAAGTTCATCAGTTGTATCTTTTGCTTCTCCCTCACTACTCATAGACATCTGCAGTTAAAAGAAATTACAACTTACATGGCACAAACCAAACCATTCTGTCTTAAAACAGGCAGCATAGGACAAGTGTGGATACAGACAGAGTTTGTATCAGGCCAGAAATAAGTTCAGTTTATTGACTGTCCACTAGGTGGAGAAATCGTGCATACAGTATTAAACTGTTCCATAGTCTTCAGAATGTATTTCAGAAAAATTATATTACACTTTCCTCATGCTTCCTGGAAAATCACAGGAAAATATTTTTAGTGATGAGTGATGAACGAAAGCATGTCGCGGCACAAAGCTTCTTTCAAAGAGTAATTGTTCTAGATTTACAAGTTAGTCCACTGGAGGGAAAAATCAGTACAAGTAACCTTCCCTTAATAGGGAATTTAAGCAAGCATGTAAAAAAAAAAGAAGTCTTAAACTTTATTAATGTCATTTACCCAATGTTATTAATTTTTTAAAAAAAACACAACCAAAGACTGATATATTAATCCTTTACAGGTTTTTCCACCTACCACATCAAATACAGTATTTTCCTATCAGACTGCACCAGTTACAACTCCTTCACAATCTTTTATTAATAAAACATCAAACTCTAACATTCACACTGGTGGTAATCAGGTCCCCTCTGTGCAGAATGGACCAGCTACTCCTAATAAGGTAAGGTTGGCCTAACAATGTTCCATAAACTTCAGTTTTATATTATTATTCTTAAATAATACATGACTATGTACATATTGCAGTTCACTCGAGGAAAGATTTTTTTCTGGATTTTAATAATGCATATATGTATGTATGTGTGAGAAAAATAAACTAGTATTTTATCCCTCTGATTACCTATGCTACTGTTATTTGTAAATATGTAGATTAGTAAAACAAATTAGGATAATCTGTAGACCTTGATACATCACATCTTGAATTCACTAAAATGTATTGTTTAGTCATTATTTTGTTATTTCACACAGCCTGGGTCTCCATCTCAAGCCCAGCCTTATATTGTTCAACAATCCCTCTTCAACAACACAGTGTCCAAGACAAAAGATCCTCCTCGTTATGAAGAGGCCATAAAACAGACCCGCAATATTCAGACATCACACCGTGAGGTAGTTATTTTCTCCTGTTTAGTCTACTAAAATGATTTTTTTTTTCTTTAAAATTATCAAAGCCATTGCTTATTTTAGTTTTTTGTTTGGTGTTACGATTTTCTAGCGTACCCTGTTTATACAGGACTCCTGTTTCATGATTCTTTTTATTAAAGCAACAGACATGTAAATAAGTCTTACAGTATCCAGTTGGTGATATATATAATTGGGATAATGCTGCTATTGCTACTTAACAATAACTAGCCTTCAACTGACTTGTTTCAAGGATGTATGATACACAAACTTCAAAGAGAGAAAATATACTAATTATTTTCCCAAGTGAGTAAACTTGAGAATATGTGTGTGTTTATACACACTTAGGGAAACATACATATACATGAACATAGGTGCTTGCTTGAAAAGAGCCTAGCTTTAGTAAGCTTGATGAATAATCTACGGAGTGCTTTATCAGTTTACCATGATACTCTTCACATTGGAGGAGAGTTGCAAACAAAACTTAGGAGCATCCCTAACCTCATGTGTTTCAGAACTATCCCAAAAGATAAAACCTTGTAGCGACTTAGTACTGGTTGCTGGTTTTGCAGTGGCAAATGCTCAGGCAGAAGCATGGGTATCTAATGCCATTTCAGACGTTCTTGGCATGTGTGAGCCATCCTCACAGTGAAGGCACACAGGTCTTCTTATGTGACTCTCACTACCAGTTAGTGAGGTGCCCCCCCACTGGCCTCTTTCCAGGAGCTCGATCTCCTGATGACAAATTGCTTCCCAACTCCAGAGTATAACCAATGTTCTAAAACACTGTTTGAATTTTGAGACCATCATAAAAGTCTCCACTTTTCCTAGACTGTTTTTGAAAGAATGGGTTTGTGGGCATTTTGTTACCTTTTGCTTAAGGTTCAGATATTCAGGAGATGGCTGTTGAAAACAAACAGATAAACAGTTGATGAAAACTTCTCCCCCTTTAAAAAATGAAAGGACATGAATCTACAATGGAAAAAATCCCCCAACATCCTTAACAAAATGCATCTTACATGATGGCTATTCATGGGGTATCTCTGGGGGGTGCACCCTGAACTGCTTTCTCTCAAAGTCCTGCAGTTGACTTACCCTGGTACAAAACAGAGTTAATAATTCTCCTTCTTATCCCTAGTTTTCTGCACCTCTCTTCTGGGTTGCCTTCATGAAATCTTTGTCTTGCTTTTCAGATTTTTTCCCTATTCCTTTGTACTGAAACTGACCACAGGGGTTACAAGTGTGTCTCCAAACTATTCCTCTGTTTTCTAGATTGACAGTTTCATATGAAGAATTTTAGTCTTGATCATAGGTTAGTACTTTATACTATTGAGAGAAGCTAGGATCAGTCAGCTTAAGAAAAAACACTACATGAAAAATAATAACCCTTTTCTCATGCACTACAGATTTCCAGTGCGCACAGTCAGCAGATGGATGATCTTTTTGATATTCTCATCAAGAGCGGAGGTAAGCTAATTGACATCTGTGTGATTCAGAGGTTTAAAACCTTATAATAAAATCTTAGTGCTATAATCAAATGAATTAAATGAAAGAATTCTTCCAGGGAGAGGAGGTAGAAGCTATCCAGCCTGGAGGAAAATAGTGGTTTTGAAAGTTTGCAATAATTATCTGTTAAAGAAAACATTTACCGAAACACATACAGTCAATCTGCTATGGAACTTCTCTGCTTGTAAATTAGCCCAGGCAGACCTTTGCAATAATCCACACAGCAGTCAAACAATTAAAATAAAATCTTAAGTTAGCACGGACATACGTTATCAAAATTGGAAAACTTGAGCAAGTCCATATAATGTATGGTGAAGTTACACAGAATATAGAATAAAGTAAGAGTTAAAGCATGTTGATACTAAAATTTCATTAAACATAACCATGTATTATAAACTCTAAACATCAAATGTACATTACTGGGAAAAGAATGTATGAACTAGATAAGAGACATTAGTGAACAACAACCTTCTATATCAGTTAGAATAAGGGAGCTATCAGAAAGGAACTGAAATAACTCAAGTAATATACACAGTAGCTTTGCGGTAAAAGAAGGAAGCTTTCGGGCATAATTGGGCTTTGTAGACTAAGCCGCCATTATAATACTGGGAAATGTTCTGGTGCCAAGCAATTCAATTAACTTAATGCTTTGTACTACTGTCATGTAGGGATCTTGACAGCAGTGAATGCCAGGACAGAAATGACTGATCGTAGGCTATTACAAGATTTTAGCCATATTCTAAACATCAAAGTATTTTCTCTTTTTCAAAGGAAATTGCAAAGTCAGCTGAAGAAAATGCAGTAGACACTGACAGACTGAGATAAGTGACCTGTGCAGTGAACAACTCAAGCTAAATTACAAAAATGCTTTCAGTGCTTTTATTAAAATATTGCATGGGTAGTTGGAAGAAGTTCTACCTCTGAAACAGAGGATTTAGGAAACAGTGGTGTGCTTGCTTAAATGTTTGCTTCAAAATTACATTACTAAACCTATTCGGTCTAAAAGGTAACAACTGCTCCACATTTGCAAAGTTGCAATAAAAAAGCAAACATCTCCCTATCATCTTTATGAAAAGCGAAGTAAAGCATTCAGGACTCTTGCACTTATGTGAGTGAGTTCTACACTGAAAAATGTTTAGTCTGTTAACGTACTTCAAGAGAATGATGTGGCCTGTTCAGTAATACTTTGTTCTTACTAAGAAAACATTTTAATAGAGGCTCCTACAGGTTTTAAGGATGTGGCTTTTGCTTGGAAAACTGGTGTAAAATATATTGTCAGGTATATTTTTGCTGGCAGAAAGATCACCTGTGCTAGGGGATTTATTTGCATATTCTGGTCTGTCTAATCTTGGTTTTGGACTCCAATCACATATAAGAATTAATTGGAACTTCACTTTTGCTTTATTTCCTTTTATTGTTACTGCCACTTTCTTACATGGAACTTCTTGACAGAAGAGTAGTTTTAGATTCTAGAAACAGGAATAAATGCATCCTAATCACATCAGTAGATCTCTTAGATTCTAATTCATCAAGGTGAACAACACTACTAAACAGGGATAGAACTGAAAATTGGTTCATGTACTCTCCTCTAAATGAGGTAATGTGTTACTTCCCCAATAATTCTAATTAGTCAGAAGAACTATAAACATGAAGGAGGTAAAGATAACATTTAGAAAATGGTTTATTTTTTCATCAGTATAAATACTCTAATTGGCTGAAGTATTACTGAAAGCAGAACTCTGGAATGTGTTTTAAAATACTTTGTTGTTCACAGAGTACCTGACATAGTCTGATGTATGTAGTTTTAGTATTATCAGAATAACAGAATGACTCTTACTCCATTGAGTTCACTGTGGATGCACCTCAAAGTGGGCAAAAAAGGGGTGGAAGTTGTGAGCCTAAGGACATATGTCATTATCTTTTCTGAATTCAATAGTGGGGTTTTTTTTTTAATTACAGAGATTTCCCTTCCAATAAAGGAGGAACCATCTCCCATTTCTAAAATGAGACCAGTAACAGCCAACATCACTACAATGCCAGTGAATACAGTGATATCCCGCCCACCACCACAAATCCAAATGGCCCCTCCTCCTGTGTCCTTAGAACCAACAACCAGCTTGTCTATAAGTTTGGAAAACCAACTTGAAGCCCTCTTGGATGGAACTTTACCATCAGGTAATGAAATTCCTCAACTGACAAGCAGTAATGAGGATAGAGAGTCATTTTCTTTAATTGAAGACCTCCAGAATGATCTGCTTCATCACTCCAGCATTTTAGATCACTCTCATTCACCCATGGAAACATCCGACCCACAGTTTACCACTAATAATTCTTGTCTGTCTCTTGACCTTCCTGATACAAATTTGGACAATATGGAATGGCTAGACATCACAATGCCCAGCTCCTCATCTGGACTCACTCCCCTCAGTTCTACTGCCCCCAGCGTGTTTTCCACTGACTTCCTAGATCCACAAGATCTACAGTTGCACTGGGATTAAGCTATAGCCAATGAGAGCACGACCTGCGAGACTCTTTACAGCAGAGGTCCATTATTATACCATTCTGATTGCAGTTAAGATGAATTAAGACAGTAGTGTTCAGAAGAACAAATGCTTGAAGATAATTCCTTATTGATTTTCAAGTTTACAACAGTGAATTACTTTATGCTCCTATCAGTAATGCAGATCAGGGCCCTCTGAAAGCTGTATCTCACAAGATTAAAAGTACCCCAAGGTAAATGCATCACAAATATTTAAGAAAGAAGTTATGTCTCTGACTGTGTAATGCTTAAATGAGCAACACAACATGGCTAAACAAATGAGATGTCAACTGTCTGTATTGACAGTGAGCGAATGATTGGGGCAGGGTGAGGTATCACTGCATTTCATTGTTCCTGTGGACAGCCTGAGCCAGGTTCAAAATCAATTGCGAGGGCAAAGGCAAGTAGAAGCACTGGCTGGTTCAGTGAAATTTCATATATCTAGTCTCTTAATTAGTTCAAGTTGTTTTTATATTTTGGTTTTGTGGTTTTTAAAAACTCTTCCCCCGTTCTTTAATCATGAGGGAAGAACTCAACTGCATCCAAAGGGATATTAAGTGTAACTGCAAGAAATCCACTGTAGCTACACCAGGTAAATTGAGAACACTGAATTTTCTATAGCAATGCTCTGGATTTAATAGCTAGGTTTTAATGTGTATATCAGACAGTTATTTGTATACTCTTTTAACTTTGTATAGCTTATTTTTGTGAACAGAGGGGAACAGTGGTCTTCAAACAAGGGATTACTATAACAGAAATAGTAAATACCCTAATTGAGTTTGTGTTTGAGGATATTTGTTAGATCATTGAATCCAGTATCTCAGCATATTAGAACAGTTTGAGGAAGTAGAAAAGTTTAATTAATGCTGTTCTGCACTATGATCCTGCAAGCATCTATGCAAGAATAGTCCCATTGCCTTCAGTAAAAGATGTTTGTAGGATCAGACCAAGTTGCAGGAGACAATACTGACAGGACAGCCGTTATTTCTTAATGAATACTTTTATCTGTTGAACAGCATTGTCTACCACTACATAACATCAGGGAAGCTAAGCAGAGAAGCTGCTCAGTGAGAATCCTAAACAGCAGTATCAGGACATACCGTTTTGTGATAAGAAGGCATATGTCATACCCAAAACAGATAATAGCAAAAATTAAGCTCTTACCTCACAGCACAGCACATTAATTGTTTTTTTTTAAGACCTTAGTTGGTTTTTTTCAGAGTCTGTTTTCCAACTGCTTTCATAACAAACAAAAAGAATGTTAAAAAAAGTAAAATACTTTGAAATTCTGTGGTTGTCTCTCAGGTAATAGCTGTTAAATGTTTCTGTAGATGATGTAGGCTGATAATCAAACATAAAATTGGAATTATCTCCTATTAGGGAATTACTAAATTAAGATAAAAGGAAACAGTCCCCTATTCCCTGAACAATAGAAATGTGGTGTGTTTTCTAGTCTGAAAACTGATCTCATTGCAGAATTCCTTCCTCACCACCAACCTTCAAAAATAAAGTTTTGTAGGAACTAATGAAAAAATACCCTGAAGCGTTCGCTTACTTCTTAGAGTAATGATATATATCAAAAAGTATCAAAGAAATAATGAAAAGAGAAAGTAGCTGTTAACTATTTAGCAACATTTAAAAAAAAAAAAAAAGGAAAAAACACAACACAGTCATGTTAACATCAACAAAATACTTTTGTTAGAAAATGTTGTGGAATTAATTGCAAATTTATGCCTCCAGATACACAGTGCATTCTGGTTTACTAACATTAGAGAATTCCATTGGTTTCAGATAAAATAGTGGACAATATCAATGATTCAGGGTTTAAACTGGCATCATAGTTTGCATCATATCAGTTACCAGCACTTTAAGTCATTCTATATCTTCAATAGTTTTATTTTTAACTTTAATCTGAAACTCAGTACAGAAAAACAATCTATGGAGATTTTCACCAAAAAAAAAGACAGAGTTGAAAGACATATTTCCTTATTCCTTCTTGCTGTGCCTACAACACTTGAGTACAATATTACATGTGGACTGTCTGCCTTAAATTTTGATGGTAAAGGACTTGAACAAATACATTTGACTTTTTGCATTCCTTTTCATCATATTATCTTGGGAGCTAATACTCGGAGATACTAAGTGCCCTCAGCTGTTGCGAGAGTAAGAATTAAGGACTCTTGGTCTGATAGGAACAACTTCGAATGAAAGTTAGTGTTCTGCAGTACTGTCAGTTTATTCTGTGTGATACACCAGACATCATACGATGTATGTGTGGTTAGTTACCCCTTTTTGACCCTGCCTTTTGAATAAGAGGCAAGTAATTTAATTTTTAGAGGACAAATTAACCTACAGCAACTGTACTGTCATTTTGATGTGCATGTAAATAGAGCTTAAAACTGGCAAAGTCATCTTGCTACAAAACTATCCTTATCGGCAGTGTAGAATGTTAAATAATCCATAGGAATCTATGTGCGGAAATAAACCCAAACAGTTGAGATGTGGTGTTATCAGTACAGTATAGCTTTCTACTCTAAAAGTCTATTTGCAAAAAAAAAAAAAAAAAAAAAGGGATCCTTTTAGTTTTTGAAGTACAAATATTCTAGTGTGGGGAATGTGTGATTACTTTTTTGTACATTTCAGAATTGTGTATTAAACCTTATATATAATGGTTTGCTTTAGACTTTGTTCTGAAATGTGATATACTTGCCATAGTTATATATGCCTGTTATGGCAGAAATAAGTTTTGCTTAGAGTTTTGTGTCTGCATGTTTTACATGACGATTTTTGTTACACAAATACAATACATCTTAGAAATTTAAGCATGACTGTGCAGTTTGACTGTACAGAACTGAATATTTCTCATTAAGAGAACAGTTGCAAAGGAATGCCCTGGCACTAAATTTGCCATTTAATGGCTGCAATATACTAACAGAACACATCCTATCAAACATGTTGTTAGTAGATCCTTCAGAGTAATGAAGAATACCGTTTTATCAGTGCGAAAATTGGAGGGTGGTGCTTACACTTCTAGACACGGAGAGAGCTCAGACATATGTTTTACAAGGCTAATGTTAATCAAGGAGTCACATCCTGCGTTTAATACGGAAATGGTTTGATGCAGTTTTAGTGCCATTCAGCATTAGTTAAGGCAAGTAAGTTTACAGCAAAAGTTTGTTTAACATTATAAATAGTTAAGAAATCATTGACATAAATTTAGCAGTTCTCTCTGAGAATAAAATGAATTTGTCAGTTGTTCTCTACAGAAATTTAGAGTCTAATCCAGCAACGTGGGCTTGCAGAATGAGACCTTTAAAAAGCTGAGGCCACAGCTTTTAGAAACAATGACTACTGAGATTTCTTTGCAAGGTATTTCTAAATTCATAAACAGGAGTTATGTTCAAGGAAACAAGTGATCAAAATACAAGTTTCAATATTAAACTTTTATGTTCTGTAATCTCAAGCATTCAGATGCCAGAAAAGTGTAGGCCCCGTAATTGGAAACCAAGCACAAGCTGCTGAACTGTTTTCAAGGCAGAGAAAATGCAATCACAGAACACATTTAACTGGAAGGGCATTATGTAATCAAAACACAGTAAAGCTCACTGATGTAAACAATTATTATTTGGATGGCATCTTCAGTGTATTATAAAGCAAATTCTATTAAAACTGGAAAAAAATTTCTTCCATTTATCTCTAGTAAATGTTCTGTTGAAACTCTTTATATCTATTAAATCACTTTTTGATGACTTCTAGACCATACGACAGATGGGTTTTGATGTGAGATACGTTGAATGGAGTTGCATGTAGTATATACATGGCCAATAAGAAGTAATCTCAAATATTCCTTTTATACCAGTTTGCTAGGAATAAATATAAAGTGCAAAAAAGAGACACCTACATCATTCTGTAGTGTCCAATACTGAATATAAAGACTTTTAAAGTTAAAAGTCCATAAACGTATTTGTAGAAATCTAGCCAAAAAGACCATTCTAGCTATGAGAGCAAATTCTCAATAAAAAGCAGGGAGTGGTTAATAACTATATAATCACACTATTTTTATAAAAAATACAGCTCAGATATTCAAAAGACAGCCTAAAATAAATTATAATTCTATAGAAATTTAAATAGGAACCAAAGCATTGCCATTTATATTGCCAAAGGAGGCACTTTGTATTTTGAAGCATAGGAAACGAAATCCCCAAAAGTATTATCAATACTTTTTTTAAAATTAAGGATGTAGATATTTTCGAAGCTGGTTTTGATGTTTTAACAGTACAGATTTGTTTTTGTTGTTTGAGAAATTTGTATTAAGTAACAGCACAGGCTTTTTTCCAGATAGGATTTTTTCTTCATAGTACTGCTTGCAGTAGAAGTAATGCTAACCCTAGTAGGTGTTTCTCTTCTTATTTTCATAGTCATAATTACGTCTTAGCATCTCATTTTGTGAAAAGAAGAAGACAGACACCTGTCTCTAGGGCCCTCTTCATTTAAGCACTACTTTATTAAATGCAAATTATGGCAATCAGGGCGTCAGTTTATGTATTGCCTTTCTATAAGAAACCATGATGCCTTTGTATTTGCTGTTTGCACCCCTAAAATCAATTCCATATGTTTGAATGCCATATGTTTTGCACATTGTACTGTATATATGTAATGCATACTGTATTTTTATATGTGTACTACATTTATCAAATATTTTGTACATAGTGGCAATATTGTAGCTACTGAGGAAATGTTTGATATTTCAGCATTTTTGCTAAGTGTCTCAAATAAAAAAGGAAAACTGTGCTCATTTGTTCATGCTTCCTACTTAAAAGTGAAAAATACCATTAATAAAAATCAACAAAAGTTCTGGCTTTTGTGAGTCGGAAACATTTGACCTGTGTTCTAAGTACCTTTCTCAGAAAAAGGAATAAGAATGAAATCTGCGCTTAGACAAACTTCAAAGGAATGATGGTTTGTCTTCAAAATCAGAGCCAAAATCTGTAAGATTTCCTGAAAGTTTGTTTGGACTTTTTTTTTAAAGCAATACTATTCTGTTAATTTCTTTCCTGTTTTTTATTCTTTTCTCAAGAAAAGGTAGGCTAAGAACCCAGATTTTCAGTACTTTTGTCATTTAAAAATATAAATCCTAACATGCACAAGTGTAACTATCTTACATAACACAGGTAAAA